CAAATTAAAGCTACGGGGCTGGTGCTGTGGCATAGCGGTTTCGAGTCCCGGCTGCTCTACTTCCAGTCCAGCTCTCTGCTATGGCCTGGGCAAGCAGTAGAAGATGGCCCAAGTGCTTGGGCCCTGCACCCACGTGGGAGACCTGGAAGAAGCTCCTGGCTCCTGGCTTCCGATTGGTGCAGCTCCAGCCATTGGGGCCAATGGGGGAGTGAACCAGCGGATGGAAGACCTCTTTCTCTGCCTCTCCTTCTCTCTCTGTGTAACTCTTTCAATTTATTTATAAATAAATAAATAATATTTATTTATAAGCTACATCTTCCTAAACCATTGGCCATTGGCCAGATGTGGGCCATGTCTCCTTAAAGATGAGGTCATGAGGTTGCCCTCATTTTTATGATAATTAAGGTAGCAGAACAACAGCCTGGCCAATTAAGGATTTTTTTTTTTAAGGCAGACAACATCGGATGCACAGCGCTGGTGTGAGTCAAAGCTGTGCTTCTTGAGCAGTTGGGGTGATTTCAAGCTGCGTAATTCGGTTGCCACCCAAAGGGAGCAGTGCTTCCTGTTGTCGGTTGGGCTGGCTGGACAGGGTGACCAGCAGGGTGACCAGCAGGCTAATCTGCCCGGGACGAGGGAGCTTTCCCAGGATACGACAGCTTTAGCTTTGAAACCAAGATGGTCATGGGCAAAGCAGCCTATGCTTAGGCCACACGTCAGAGACGCTGCACTTACTTCTAAGGGCCGTGGGTTGGGGGTGCCCCAACAAGCTGTGAGTGTGTACAGAGGGGAGCCAGGGCCGTGAGAGCCGTGGAAATCAATGTGAGGACAGTGGGAGGATTGGGGTTCGGCCAGGAACAGCGATGGCAACTCTGTTTAGAAGCTGTGGGATCTCCGTGCTCCGAGGGGAGACGCCTTCGTCATCACAGTCGGAGGAGTTAAACGAAGATCGCGGGCACACTTGAGCTTGACACGGGAAGCACTTCCAGCAGTTGGGTCTGGGAATAGCAGGGAAGGCTGCCTTGTGGGGGAGGAGCTGCTCGTCTCTGGGGGGCCCCAGAGCACTTGTGTCAGGGACACAGGGGACTCCCGGAAGTTCATGGAGAGTTGAAGTGAATTTTGCACAAAAGTTTGAAATCCATGCATAGTTTTTTTTTAAAGATTTATTCATGTATTTGAAAGGCGAGTTACAAAGAAGCAGAGGCAGAGAGAGAGAGAGAGAGAGAGAGGTTTTCCATCCGCTGGTTCACTCCCCAGATGGCTGCAACGGCTGGAGCTACGCATCTTCTACTGCTTTCTCAGGCCATAGCAGGGAGCTGGAATGGAAGTGGAGCAGCTGGGACTAGAACTGGCGCCCATATGGGATGCTGGTGCTGCAGGCAGAGGCTTTACCCGCTAAGCCACAGCGCCGTGTTTTTATAATATGTATTCACCATGAACTTTAAAAATACCCTTGTATGCTTGGATTTCAAAATATTTTGCACCAGAACAAATGGTCTTGTAATTCATGAGCTTCATGCTGTGCCCTTGTACTTGGAACAGATTCTTCCTGAAGGGAGATGGAGGGCAGCCGGGGTGCCTTAAGGATTTGTGTGTGTGTGTCTGTGTGTGAGGAGCCAGGAGGTACTGAGGGGACAGTGACCAGCAGCTGCTGTCTGCAGAGTGGCTGGGATCTCAGGTCCCTGAGGCTGCGCAGGTCCTGGTGAGTGGACGGGGCACGCGTAGCAGGTGCAACACTGTGCAGCTTCCCAAGGCTGCAGGGGCGGAGAACCCCGCCCTGGACGGCCCAGAATAAAAGACGCTTGTCGATCACGGTGTCAGCGGGGGTGGTGCCACCCGAGGCTGGGAGGGTGCCCTGGTGCCAGCCCCGCCCCCAGCTTCCCCGTGTGGTGTCTTGGACTCTTCCTTGGCTGGAGGGGATCAGTGTGCTCTCTGCTTCCTCTTCACAGGGCCTCTCCCTGGGTCTCTGTATTCAGATTTCCTGAGTGAGGTCCCACCCTGGTGCCTTTATTGTAACTCGATCACCCCAGTTTAAAAGAAACAAAACAAAGAAACAAAACAAACAAAAAACCCTACCTCCGAATAAGGCCAGGGTGTTGAGGTGGTGGAGTTAGAACACCAACATATCTTTTTTGAGGGGAGGGGCACATGTGGGGTGTACAATTCGACCCCTGGTGGGGCGCGTTCAGTGGACCAGTTGGGATGGAGGAGAATGTTGGAGGGACTTAAGAAGGGGCGCAAGTCGGGCAAGGCCACTGAGCGCCCCACATCTGGAGCTGGTGGGCTCATTGCTGAGGCCGTCCGGAGGCGTTGGCTGGTTTCGGCATCTGGGATCCGCAGAGCCAGGCGCACCAAAGCCTCGGGACTTGGGTTTGCCACAGCTCCCTCTGCGAGGGCGAGGCCTCCCAGACTGAATCACCAGCATCTCTGTTGTAGATGTCGCAGGTCCTACTCAGATCAGCCAGTGGAACAAGAAAGATCATGTTGGGTCACATAAATGGAAATCCAGGCTACTGATCTTGGCTTGAGGCGAGAGTGGGGTGACAGCTCTGGGCCTTCCTGTTGGGGTCAGGGTCCCCTCTCTTGCCTCTGACACCCCAAATTCACACCCTCCCATCCCAGTGACTCTGGAGGAGAAGAGCTGATGGGGCCAGGCTGGGTCCGGAGGTCTTCTGAGCCAGCCACCAGGGCCAGAGCAAGTGCGTTGTGATGCGTAGACTGAGTGGCAGGCTCACACCCGCGCGCTGGGCAGGGCAAGTCCATGCCGCACCTGGAGCTGATTCCAGGGGAAAAGGATTCCCCCCATTCGAGGAAGACGAGGCCAGCGGCTCCTGTGAGTGACTGGCCCTGTCTGCGGTGCTCACTCACCTCTGTGCCTGAGCGATGGGCTCCGAGGAGGGTCTCCGTAAAACAGTGCACACAGAGTGAAGGGAAAGTAGGGAGTATTCGTTCAAAATGGGCGAGACTGAACGCTGTCAAACAATTTACAAAGCCCGTGGCTTGGAGCCGGTTCTGGAACTTTCGCCCGTATCCTTTGGCAAACTGGTCTTCAGGAAGGAAAAAACAAGGGCCAGACACAAAGCCCGTTTGTGTGCTCAGCGCTGAGGTTTCTCCGGGCCTTTTCAGAACCCCCCGGGGCTGTGTTCAGAAACAAAAGGGGCTTTCAGGAGGTCCCTTGGAGAGAGGACCCGCGTGGCTGGGGGCCACGGGCAGCTCTCGGAGCGGAGCAGCGGGCAAGTGAGTGTCCACCAATGTGACAGCTGCACTTGACCTTCGCTTTGAAGCCTGCAGGCTTGGAGATCAAAGGAAGGCAGCGTGGTCAGCCCGCACTCATGAGGAAGGTCCTGGGGAAGTGACCAGGGGTGCTTGGCAGGGCCTCGGTGCTTCTGGCTCTCGTTCGGACAAGAGGCCAGTGTGCCCCCCTGCTGTTCCCCGCCCATTGCTAACAGCATTACTGGAAAACCTTCGGTGACTACGGAGCAGCCTGACCTTTTGTGATGTCTGACTTGCTGCCGGTGGCCACGGTACTCAAGGGTATCCCTTCTTTAAGGGAGCCCTGGTCAGTGGGCCGTGGCCAGTGTGCCTGGGGTGTGGGGGGATGCAGGCACATGGCTGGGTCAGCTGAGCCTGGACGTAGCTGTCGGGTTCACCATCCTTCCGATAGTGCTGCTCAAGCTGGCGTCGGCTGGAGCCTCTGGAATCTTGTTCACATGTGGACTGTGCCTCAGCAGACCCGGGCTGGCCACACAGCCCGCACTGCTGGTCCTCAGGCCTCCTGACTCCCGCGGAGTCCTCCGGGAGAGGGTGCTCCTCCCGCCTGCCTGCCGCTGCCCTGCCTCCACCGTGGCCCTGGGAGCACTGGGGCCAGCAGGAGCTGCCTGGTCGCTGCCCTGCCCATGGCATTCCTTCTTAGCTAAGCGCTGCTGTCTCCGCCCAGTGAGGGAGCCCCGAGCTGCCCGGGTCGAGACGCTGCAGGCGGCTGGGCGCAGTGGGCCTCTGCCTCTTGTCCTCAGAAGAGGAGCTTGGGGCGGGCGAGCTTCCTTCCTGCTCTGCTTTCTCGCTCTGCCTCCTCCGTGTCTTCTCCTCTCTCTGTGTGCTTTATTTCTCGATTGCAGGAATAATCAGGCCTATAGGAAGGAAAGCGGGAAAATCAATTTGTTTAGGAGAGAGTCGAGTGAGAGCAGCTGTGTGGTCTCCGCGGCCAGTCCCCAGGGCCACCCCAGCTGACACATTCCCGAGGCAGCCGCTGGTGCTGCAGCGCCCACAGGGAATCCCAGCTCGTGCCCCCTTCTTCCCCATCGGGGGCCCCTTGTTTTGTGTGATCACAAGTCCCGAGAAGAAGGCTGGGCTCCAGGGCTGGTTCAGGAACTCTTGGTAGTGGTGGACTTGGCTCTGCCTTCTGCCCCAAGCCAACTGTGCCACTGCAGGCTTCCTGGGCTGGCTCCTCCTGGTCAGATGGCCACAGCAGCAGCTGGGCAGTGTGTCTGCCATCTTGCCTCTGGGAGGGGCGTTCCTCCCTCTGCCTCCCTCCTCCCCTTCAGTCAGGACCAGGTAGAGTAGCAGAGGGAGGCTGTGCTCTGGGCGACCCGGAGCAGCCACGGGGGAACCTTGGCGTCTTGGATTCTGGGAGTGAGAAGAGGGGCCTCCCAAGCACAGGTGTCTGTAGGGAGGATGGCAGGGGATGGGTGCTGGCCAAGAGCCTGTATCCCTACACTCCCACAAGGCCGCGTTGCTGCATGCAGTGTTCCTTCTCATGCATTTATGTAGCACCAACAGTTTGCCATCCAGTACCAAGGAGGAACCAGTGAGAGAGGCAGCACTGTCTTCCCTGTTGGTGGGTGGAAAACGAGGGCGAGGACTGCTCAGGTGTCCTGCCCAGGGGCACCGCGCCCAAGGCGGACAGCAGAGACAGGAACCAGGCACTCGCTCCACTGGCTCAGGCCCTGACGAAGCCACAGTGGCGGGGTGTGGGAGTGAATTCAAACCCATCTTTCTGTCCCTAGATCCTAATAACTATTACCACCGGCGGAATGAAATGACCACCACCGACGACCTGGATTTTAAGCACCACAACTATAAGGAGATGCGTCAGGTAAGACCTGGGCTCAAGTCTCATCCATTCTAGGAGCTGTCTGGGAAGCGTGTCATGTGCCCTAAGAGTTTTGAAATTTTGTTTTTAAAAGGAATTAAGATGATGTGCTGGAAATCTGAGTGACCATTTGGTTTCATGAAGACGCACAGGATATCTGTGGTTCAGAGGTTGAGGGAGCCTCACTGGGGTTCAGTAACCAGCAGAAGGCTCCCTCACTATCAAAGAAGTGAGGCAGAATTTGGATGGAGATGGCACAAAAGTTCTTAAGAACCGCCATGTGTCTGAGCCGTGGCTCTGCTGTAACGCAGGTGTCGGCCGCAGGCTGAGTTGGAGAAGGGTTGAGGGCGACACGGATGGTCCTAGCAGGAAGCGTGCACTGGGACCCGGCGCTGTGCTCAGTCAGCAGTTGCCCACGTCCTGGGTTGCGTTTGCTTAACCACCCTCGGACGGCAGGGCCGGTCCTCATCCTGCAGTGCAGATGGGAACTGCATCCCCCAGGCCTGTGTGTCATTATGCAGCTTATTCATATGCATATTCGTATAATTATTCGAATAATAATTAAGTCGTATTACTCAGATCCTCAGAATCTCAGTTTGGGCTGCATAGTAGCATCACTGGGGGAATTTGTAACTGTGTTTGTGCCGGCTCAGACCAGTTAAAGCGGAATCCTTAGAAGAAAAGCCGGGGGTGGGGGAGGGGGCATGTTTTTGAAAAGCTCTCCTCCTGTTTCTTCAGCCGGGTCTCAGAACTTCTGGCTAATAATAACAATTAGTCGTTCTCTGTGTCCTGTGGCTCTCAGTCCATTGGAAAGAAAAGACAGCCGGAAGAACTGCCCCGTGTTAATCTCGGAGACCAGGAGCTCTGAGCACCTGGCAGCACCCGCGTGGTGGGGGCCAACGGGAGAAGGGACTGCGGGGTTTTAGGGCATCTGAAATGCAGCCCCCTGCCAAGTGCATTGCCTCCAGATTCCTGCTCCATTTGCACCCCCAGCGTGTGCTAGAAAGCACGAGGAGGAGGAGGTGCAGGCGAGTGCGAGGTCCGTGGAGAGCCAAGAAGCTGTCTGCGTAGAGAACAAGCGGGAACATCCCCAGCAACCCTCGTGCCGAACCGGGACTCTCTGGGGGCCAGCAGACCATAGAGCGGCTCAAGGGGGCTGGCAGGTGCGGGGCCAGTGGTGAAGATGCTTCTGTGGTGGGAACAGTGAGGCTCGCCCGGCCCCGCGGGGTGAACGGGCTCGGTTGGTCTCGGTGTCAGTTCACTTGAGACACTCACGTGTGGCTTCCAGGCACCTGTCAGCACAGACTTGGAGGTGGGATGTGCTAAAGCAAGCTTGCTGCCTTGCTCCTCAGAGATGCAGATAATGCGTTCAGACGCGAGGCCTGTGACTCATGCCTGCTGCTCCACGGTCACGGGGTATTTATACGCCTGTGCTCACCACGCCACCGTCTGGGCACTGCTGTGTTACCTTAGCTTTGCTCACTGTGCGTTCTCAGAATATCTTCTCACGCCAGAAATGAGACAGATATCAGCTCAGTTGGTGCAATTAATGTCAAGAGCAATCCACGGAAGCGTGCTGAATATGAGCAGGGTCTGCAGAGCTGCCAGCTTTGAATAATTGTCCCACGTGGAAGTCTTGGCATTCTTCTCCCGTTAGGAGGCGAGAGCTAGCACAACGTGCCTCAGGTCACGCGGCAGACGCAGAGCTGTCTGTGCTGCCCCCCTCAGGTGACCCTGGGTGACCCCCGAGTTGGTCCCATAGCCCAGGGCAGCCTCTGTCCGTCCGGCCGAGTATTCCAGCTGGAGGTGATTTGCCACTGGGGTTCTTGGCTTCCGGGGAGGGGGCAGAGGACAGCATGTTTCGGCCATTTCCCCCACATGGGGTCTGCTAGGTTGTTGTACCAATCTGTCTACCTGGGGAAACATGGTTAGCTTCTCCTGCTTCTAAAGAGGCTTTCGGGACACACCAGAGAGACAGCAGCAGGGAGCCAGGAGAGACCACGGGAAGCCCCTTGTGCTGTAAGGGGACAGTACTGAGAACATGTGCGACAGTCGTGTTTGGTGAACGTCTTTGCAGCCCTGACACGCTAGGCGGAGGGGAGATGCAGGCAGTGGGGGTGGGGAAGGGAGAAGGAGAAGAAGGAGAAGTTGTGCCCACGCTGAGAGCGTGCGGTGGGGCTGGGGCACTGTGCGGGGAACGGCGAAGCCTCCATAGCCTGTGCCTGGTTTGGAGTCGCTCGGCGGTCTGTTTACCTGCCCTTGGCTGCCCTCCTCACTTGGCGTAATGAGGGCAGAGACCCTGACGCTTTCTCTTCAGTACTGGCACTGATCAGTTTGTGTATGGCCCTGGGGGATGAGGGGGGAAGGCGGCTGGTCTGGGTGGCCCTGGCTGGGAGGGGGGGCTCTGGTGGCAGAGATGGAGAGACGGTACCCCAGCAGAGAGGACAGGCACGCCCCCGGCACCATGGGAGAGGCAGCTGGCCCGAGCCTCATCCCCATTGTGAGGTCAGTCGGTCTTTTCCTTGCAAGCAGTGCTGTGTTTCCGGAGTGGAGTGCTAAGTGCACAGTGGACAGTGGAGTGCTAAGTGCACAGTAGTCCACAGGTGAGGGAGCCCTGGCCTGGAGGAGGAGGAGCAGGAGGAGTGGTGGCTGCTCCCAGGGCCCTGTTGGAGTGAGCTGGGGTGAAGGGGGTCTGGCATGCCTCTGGAGCGGTGCCGGTTGGTTTGAGGGAGCAGGGAGAGGATGCAGAGGTGCTGAGCCACAGGTTGGAGGGTGGCTTAGCTGGTGCTGGATCCTGGACAGCGAGGACGGCCAGAGCCGCCAGGCCATGGGATAGCAGCCGAGCCTACCCACCTGCGCCCCACTCAGCCTGACCTTGGGTGGGCGATGGTGGCAAGGGGCCAGGACAAGGCAGACACAGCCTGCGACCCAGACACAGCAACTCGAGACCGGATGCCTTGCGCCATGATTGCTTCCACTTCCCCTTCGCTGGACCAGGGGCGGTGTCTCATTTCTTAGGCAAATGAGAAAAGGTGATGGCCGAGACCGCTTTCTCTCCTGCCTTCTCCTTTGTAAACATCGTCATTCACTGGACACATGAGGTTGTATCCACGTCAAGTGCAAACCGAAGGCTCAAGGTGAGTCCTTCACGAACCCACTAAGGAATCATCAGGCACCACTGCCTCTGCCCATGCCTCAGCCCACGCTGCTGCAACGAAACCCCAGTACCTCACAGTGCTGGGCACTGAGACGTCCGAGATCAAGGCCCCGGGAGGTGCGGCATCTGGTGAGGGCCCGGTCTCTGCCCCCAGGCAGTGCCTGGGTGCTGCATCCCCTGGGGAGAGGGCGCATGAGCAGAGAGGCCTCGCTGGACCTCTCCACGAGGGCTCTTCCCAGCCTTCCTCGCCCCCTAAAAGCCCCACCTCCGGAGAGTGATGTGCTGGGTCTGGGGTCCCCACACAGGAATTTGGGGAGACCACGCCAGCCTGTGTCCCTGGAGGCTTTGCTGGTCTCTGATCAGATTCCACGGGATGACTTATTTATTGATCAGGAGGGAGCTCTGTCTTTGCCTCGCGTTTCTCCGTTGATGGATCATTGGCGGTTTTCCCTGCTGTCCGCGTGGCCGTGAGTGTGGTACTGTGGGATGTTCCTGCGTGTGGACGCACCCCAGTAACTCAGCGGTTGTCCTGCTCTGCCCTGTTTGGCTCCCTCCCAACTCTTAATGAATCCCGACAAAGCAGGAAACGTGCAACAGCAGGTGTCACCACGCACATGGCTTCAGCAGTCTATGAACAACTCCCTTCTAATACCGATGACTAGCAAAGAGCCTCTGTTGCGTCTCCTTAGCGCAGGTGGGAAGCAGGGGGCCCAGCACCCAGCAGAGAGCAGCGTGGCAGGGTGACCCCATCTCAGGGCGGCAGGACAGGACCTGAGGGGGCTGAGAGCCTTACAGCCCGGTGCCCTCGAAGGCCGCGTCGCTCAGCCTGTTTTGCCTCACTGCCTCCCTACCAAGCCCTTTTAAACAGTTTTTTTTTCCCCTTGAAGCACTCTCCCCTCCGTTAATCACACCATAAGGGTAGCGTTGAATTTTGGAGAGCCACAAAGCGCTGTCATAGCTCCGATGATTTGGCCCTAGAAGAACCCATTTTCATCTGCCTTTTGAGAATCCACGCTGGAGGCCAGATGGCAATTCTGTCCATGGCTTCTCTGGAGCCATCAGGACCCAACCCCAGAGGAAAAGTAGTTCACTGTTCTAGTGGTTGTCTCCTGTGAGAAGGAGCTGCGTTTGAATGGGGGACCTCATTCCCAGTGACGTCACAGTGGCCGTGCTGGGAAGAGTAGCGTGGGTGACCCACGTCAGGGAGCTGGTGGCCGTGGAGAAATGCAGCCTGGCCTTCTAGAGGGCCCTGTGCAGGCACAAGTGTAGAGAAAAGTCTTCAGGGGCCTGCGCTGTGGCGTAGTGGGTGAAGCCGCTGCCTGCAGTGCCAGCGTCTGATATGGGCGCCGGTTTGCATCCTGGCTGCTCCACTTCCAATCCAGCTCTGCTGTGGCCTGGGAAAGCAGTGGAAGAGGCCCCTGCAGTGGCATGGGAGACCTGGAAGACACTCCTCGCTCCTGCCTTCGAATAGGCGCAGCTATGACTGCTGCAGCCATTTGGGGAAGTGAACCAGAAGATGGAAGACCTCTCTCTCTCTCTCTCTCGCCCTCTTTTTCTCTGTAACTCTGCCTTTCAAATAAATAAATAAATCTTTAAAAACGAATGAAGGGCCTTCAAATCATGTCTCACCTGGAAAAACAATGCTTGTGCTGCAGTGACACGCGGTTGATGTTTTAACTGTCACTGAGCTGTTGGCGGGAAAGTGTGCTGGGTAGAACTGATCGTGGTGACTCGTGGTCCCAGTGTCTCCCGTGGCTAAGTGTGCATCCCGAGAGATCTGGTCTTCCTCCAGTGCCATGGGCATGGTCTCCAGCACTGGCAGTGCATTGCACCTGCGATACTTGCAAGAGAAGGTTAGCATGGGAGGACGCCAGGCCTCGGCCGAGGGCTCGCATTCCTTCCCTGGTTAGTGGCAAACCACCTGGCTCCTGTCTGCAGAAGCGGTCGTTGCTCTGCCTCCAGACAGTTGACACTGCCTCTCAGGACTTACTGAGGTCCATGCAGGGGCTGAGAATGACTGTGACCCAGCTAGGAGGAGGGACCCGGGAGGAGTGACTGTGACCCAGCCGGGAGGAGGGACCCGGGAGGAGTGACTGTGACCCAGCCAGGAGGAGGGACCCGGGAGGAGTGACTGTGACCCAGCCAGGAGGAGGGACCCGGGAGGAGTGACTGTGACCCAGCCAGGAGGAGGGACCCGGGAGGAGTGACTGTGACCCAGCCGGGAGGAGGGACCCGGGAGGAGTGACTGTGACCCAGCCGGGAGGAGGGACCCGGGAGGAGTGACTGCGACCCAGCCAGGAGGAGGGACCCGGGAGGAGTGACTGCGACCCAGCCAGGAGGAGGGACCCGGGAGGAGTGACTGTGACCCAGCCGGGAGGAGTGACCCGGGAGGAGTGATTGTGACCCAGCCAGGAGGAGGGACCCGGGAGGAGTGACTGTGACCCAGCTAGGAGGAGTCCATGGAGCCTCAAAGAGGACAGTGCACTATGGTCACCTCTCCGCAGGGTCAGATGACACCTGCTGGCCCTCGTAACTCCACTATACTGTCACAGACAGGGCTGTGGCACCAGCTTTGAGGTTCCCAAGTCCTGGCTCGCCTGTGCCAGCTGGGTGATACTCATGTCCCCCCTGAGCCTCGGTCTCCACGTCTGTGGAATGGGCATAATGCCTTCTTCCTTACCTACTGCTCTCATGGTGAGATCCAACAGAGAAACGGTACATACTCTTGCATTCTGGATAACCTCGTGGGTGGCTTCCTTACAGTGTCTTTTATTAACTTGTGCTGCTGCTCATGTGTGGGTCCAGCCACCCCGTTATGTTTGTCCCTCGTGGTGGTGGATGTAGAAGACACGTCTCCCCTGTGTGTCGTATCTCTGCTGCTGGTGGGCTTCTCTGTCTTGCAAGCAGGGGCCTGGTAGTCCGTTTCCTCCCACTTGAGTGCGTGACGCAAGGTGAGCTCTCATGACGTGGCCACGCGCTCCCCCAGGACCACTGCCCCTGGACTCCCGCCAAGGCTGAAGCTGCCAGTCCTGGTACTGTGTCAGAGAAGCCAGCCACAGTGCAGTGCATCTCTGCACCGCTTCAGAGATGCCCCTTAGCCCCCCCCACCCCCGCCGCCACCCAGTGGTGACCGAGTGCCAGGGTGTGAAAGCCCCCAAAGCACGTGGCACCCAAACCCTGCCACGTCATCTGTGCTGCACGGTCTCGTGGACCTTAACCAACAGATTTGTCTGTTCACAATTTGCAAGGACGTTTGACGGACGATTTGGCAGATCAAGAATTTTCTGGAAGATCATTTGAGCACAGTCGAGTCTCTTTCCTCCGTCTCCGCCCATCAGCTCATCTTCAAGGGGCACCTGCCTGCCCCTCACCAGCTGGGACGCCCTTCCTCTGGCCCTACGGCGCCTGAGTGTCTTTACCGTAGTCATGAAATTGTCCCATTAACACCCAGGCTCTGCCAGGAGCAGGCGCCTCAGTGGGTGCCTCGGGACCAGCAGGTGCATCGGTGAACATGGATGGAAAGACAGATGCCCTTCGAATCAGATCTTCTTTCTCTTGGGAATCGCTGAACACAGTTAACTCAGCAAATCTGAGCTAACCCAGGGCTGGCGTTGCGCAGCAGATCAAGCCACTCTCTGATGCCAGAGTCCCATTTCAGAGCGCTGGTTCAAGTCCAGCTGCTCTGCTTCCTGTCCGGCTCCCTGCTAGTGTACCTGGGAAAGCAGTGGAAGACGGCCCAAGTGCTTGGAAGACCTGGGTGGAATTCCAGGCTCCTGGCTTCAACCATCTGGGGAGTGAGCCAGCAGATAGAAGATCTCTCTCTCTCTCTCTCTCTGTCACTCTGCCTTTAAAATAATTTTTAAAAAAACGAAAAAGAAAAAAAGAACTCACTCACAGGTCCGTTCAGCGATGGGAGGCAGAGCAGCCTCTGGCAGCGCGTCTCTGGTCCTCTGCCTCCAGGGACAGCTCATCGGCCTGTGACCAGCGAGCCACGTGCCTCCATTGGCTCTTGGCTTGTTCTCACAGCCCACAGCTGTCAGTCCGACTGGCAACCTCTGAGAGCAGAATCCAGAGAACGGCACGCGTTGACTTCACTTCCTCGCTTCCCCGCGGTTTAAAATTGCAGCTCCCTGCACTCTGCTCACCCAGCACTGGGGAGCGGGGCCACGGCAAGTCTCTGTGCCCTACTGGAAGCTCGCGGAGGCGGGTGGGCCTGTTTCCTCCGCCTGGCCATGCAGGTGACCCTCACGTTGTGCGAAACCTTGACACTTGCCACGGAATATTCATCCGGGCAGGGATGGAGTAAGAGCCTTGTCCCCTTGAGGGTCTGCAGGCTAGTGAGGGGACAGTAAGAAAACAGGAAGTCCCAGCGGAAAGGTGACAGCCCCAGCTGAAGGAGGTGACGCCCGCAGTCAGGGAGGACAGCGTCTTAGACTGCTCAGGCTGACGTAACGAAAAAACCAGAGACCGAGCGGCTTGGGGACGACAGCAGGGTGTTGCTCAAGGTTCCGAGGCCGGGGAGTGCAAGGCCAAGGTCCCAGCCAATCTGGTGTCCGGTGAGGCCTGGCTCTGTGGTTCACAGATGCCACCGTCTCTTTGTGTCTGCACGTGGCAGAAGGGCAGGCACGCTCTCTCGGGCTTATTTATTTATTATAGAGAGAGACAAAAAGAGATCTCTCTTCTAGTTCACTGCTCAAATGCCCACAACAGCTGTGGCTGCGGCCAGGCTGATGCCCAGGAGACCAGAACTGCACGTGGGTCTCGCATGGGTGGCAGGGACTCAAACACTCGAGCCCTCAGCTGCTCCCTCCCAGGGGTGCGGATGGGTGCATCTGCAGGGAGCTGGAGGGCAGGAGGCAGAGCTGGCACCGGAGCCCGGGCGGTTTGATAAGGATGCGGGCGTCCCAGCAGGTGTCGTCTCTGCTGTAGGGACACTGATTCCACTCGATTCGTGACCTGCTCTCGGTGCCCTGGCCCTGGGAATCGGGTATCAGTGTGGGCATCTGTGGGGAGGCACAGCCGTGGACCACAGCAGGAGCTGGGCGGCCGGGAGTGTCTTCCCAGAGGAGATGACCCCAGGGCGGGTGCGGGAGGGAGGTCTGTGCTATCCCCGGGGTGGGGGGGCACCAGGAGAGGTAGAGCAGCCAGGAGGTGAGGAGGGCGGGGGTGTTCAGCCAGGGCTGCCTTTGGCGGCCCCTGCCCCTGAGTACCTGGCCGTGGCTTGTCTTTGTTTTGCAGCTGATGAAGGTTGTGAACGAGATGTGCCCCAACATCACCAGGATTTACAACATCGGCAAAAGCCACCAGGGCCTGAAGCTGTACGCCGTGGAGATCTCGGACAACCCCGGGGAGCATGAAGTCGGTGAGGGATCCCCTCCCCCGCCCCGGCCCGGCGAGGACGCAGGGCGGGACCGGTCCAGCGGTGGCCTCACCCGCAGATTCTGCACGCCTCTGTCCTTGAACCCCTCGTCTGGTGATAGGTGCTGAGGGATTATTGAAGCGGGAATCTCTTCCTTTCTCCAGATGGGCGGTATTCAGGTCTGGCCCCAGCCCCGAGATCAGTACCGACGGCCAGAGAGGACAGGGCTGAGACAGGACAGAACTGTCTCCTCCTTCAGGCGATCACGAACAGCTCAAATCAGAGGGAGCCCTCTTTTTAAATAAGTCTTCTGCCTTGCTTTGAAGCGTTTCCTGTGTCCAGGCCCGCCCCAGCCCGTGCTCCGATGGGTCGACCTGGGAGCACAGTGCAAATCCAGGGCTGTCCAGGGGCAGAGAGGTGTCGCACTCATTCAGCTTGAACGGCCCTCGGTATCTCAAGGGTCCTTCTCGGGGGCCGCTCGGTGAGGCTAAAGGCTTTGCTGGCAAAATCCCAGTTTCCTCCAAGGCAGAAGCTTTGGGGCTGAGGGAGAGTTCAGCTCACGCCGGCACTGATAAGCCCTGTGTCTGTCTGTCCGTCTGTGTTGCCCCTGACGGGGTAGCTTATGAAGAATGGAGGTTGTTTCTCGTAGCCCCTGAGGCTGGGAGGTCCACGCTCCAGGTGCCGGCAGGTGCAGGGTCGGGCAGGCCTGCTCCCCATAAGACTCCTTCTTTCTTCGTCCTCACGTGGCAGGAGGCACGAGGGCACAGGGGCCCCCCTGGGTCCCTCCAGCCCTTTTCTAGGGGCTTGAATGCCACTCACAGAGGCTCCACCCCCATGATGACATCACCCCCTAAAGGCCCCACCTCTTAAAACTCATATTTTCTCTCAGGTTCCAACCCAGATTTTGAAAGGATACCACATTAGATCCTGGCACCCCAAATATTTTGTGTTTTAATTTTCATTTGAGAAGCAGAGAGACAAAGAAGACTCTCCCATCTGCTGGTTTGCTCCCCCAAATGCCTGCAAGGGCTGGGACTGGGCCAGGCAAAGCCGGGAGCTGAGAACTCGGTGTGGGTCTCCCACATGGTGGCAGGGACCCAGCCGCGGACTGTCAGCGGCTGTTTCCAGGGCGCACATCGGCAGGAAGCTAGAATGAGGAGCAGCGCTGGGCCGTGGGCCTGGGCACTTGAGTAGGGGTGCAGCATCTTCACCACTAGGCCAAACACACTCTGCCGGCCCCCCAACTTACTTTCTTAGCAGCCCTAGAAGTTCAAAAGCTGAGCTTTGAAAGAGAAAATACTCATGTGCCTCCTTTGCAAAACTGTGTCTCTGCTGACTAACCCCGATGGGCCATCTCCACCTGTGTGTCCCTACAAAGCTTAATAAGAAGTTCCTTTAAGAAAAATAATTGGCCCTCCAACCCCCAAATGAAAAATAAGTGCTATGGCTCGTGTTTAACTGTTGAGTGGTTACCCCGAAGCACTGCATTTTAGCTGTTTTTTTTTTTCAAGATTTATTTATTTATTTGAATGGCAGAGTTACAGAGACACACGCATACACAACAGAGAGAGAGACAGGCAGAGAGAGGTCTTCCATCCACTGGTTCACTCCCTAAGAGGCTGCAATGGCCAAGGCTGGGCCAGATGGAAGCCAGGAGCCTAGAGCCAGGAGCCAGGAGTTTCACAAGGGTGGCAGGGACCCAAGGACTTGGACCATCTTCTGCTGCTTTTCCCAGGTGGATTAGCCAGGAGCTGGATCAGAACTGGAGCAGCTGGGACTCCAGCTGGCACCCATATGCGATGTCAACATTGCAGGTGGTGGCTTTGCCCGCCTCGCTACAGCCTGTATTTTAACTGTTCTTGCGAATTTAATAGTGACCATTATTACTCTGTGGCTGAGGTCACCCAAGATTCTTCTACACATTTTATCTACTTCACTGGGAGTAGAAAGTTGTCCTGGTATGATTTCAGAGGTTTATCTGAAACAGCAAGTTCCTGTTTCGAGACGATTTCGCCCTGCCCCAGCGTGTCCGGCTCCTAGCATCCCGACCAGGGCCTGTGTGTCTGTGTGTCTGTCTCTGAGCGCAGGTGAGCCCGAGTTCCACTACATCGCGGGCGCCCACGGCAACGAGGTGCTGGGCCGTGAGCTGCTGCTGCTGCTGCTGCAGTTCCTGTGCCAGGAGTACCTGGCCCGCAACGAGCGCGTCGTCCACCTGGTGGAGGAGACCCGCATCCACATCCTCCCGTCCCTCAACCCCGACGGCTACGAGAAGGCCTCCGAGGGGGTACTGGCACCGGCTCCTCCCACCCCTTGCTGGCAGCTGGGCCGCGTGCTGGGGGACACCACAGCCATGAGTCTGGCTCAGTTGCCTCCCAAGCTGGCTTGCAGGAGGGCAGTCTGCCGGGGCGGGGAAACCCACAAGGTCTGTGAGATGCAGGGTGGAGTTGAGAATCCCTAGGACCCCAAGGGGTGGGCCTGCCTGCTGAGTCACAGGCGAGACCAGGAGTCACAGCGTGGCAGGTGCCAGGCTCTTCCAAACAGGCATGGGAACTGGAATTACGAGAAAACTTTAGTGCAAAAAAAAAAAAAAAAATTGAAATCCATGAGGTTTGTTCATTGGATGCATTTTCCATGAAATTTTTGAAGACCCCTGGTTTCCATGATTTTTCAAAACTTTTCTGCTTTAAAATAAATTCTGTTTCGGGCCGGCGCCGCGGCTCACTAGGCTAATCCTCCGCCTAGCGGCGCCGGCACACCAGGTTCCAGTCCCGGTTGGGGCGCCGGATTCTGTCCCAGTTGCCCCTCTTCCAGGCCAGCTCTCTGCTGTGGCCAGGGAGTGCAGTGGAGGATGGCCCAGGTGCTTGGGCCCTGCACCCCATGGGAGACCAGGAAAAGCACCTGGCTCCTGGCTCCTGCCATCGGATCAGCGCGGTGCGCCGGCCGCAGCGCGCTGGCCGCGGCGGCCATTGGAGGGTGAACCAACGGCAAAGGAAGACCTTTCTCTCTGTCTCTCTCTCTCACTGTCCACTCTGCCTGTCAAAAAATAAATAAATAAAAAAAATTCTGTTTCCCATGTACTTTTTAAAAAAAGATTTATTTATTTATTTGAGAGGCAGAGTTACAGCCAGAGGGAGAGACAAAGATGTCTTTCATCCACTGGTTCACTCCCCAAATGGCCACAACAGCTGAAGCTGAGCCAACCTGAATCCAGGAGCCAGGAGCTTCTTCCAGGTCTTCCATGTGGGTACAGGACTTGGGCCATCTTCTGCTGCTTTCCCAGGTCATTGGCAGGGAACTGGATCAGAAGAGGAGCAGCCAGGACTCAAACGGGCACCCATATGGGATGCAGGCGCTGCAGGCTGAGGCTTAACCTACTAAGCCACTGTGCCAGTTCCTCCCACGTACTGAAGTACCCTCATATGCACTGATGGTAGCCAAGTGTAGCCCAGCACCTTACACTGAGCGCTCATTCACGGCGTGTGTGGACCCTAATTATAACCTTCGTCCTCTCATCAGTCCTCCGAGGAGAGTTGTTACTATTATGATAATTAGGGTGTGGAGTTTGCATAGGTTATAGGTAGGCACAGAGTAGAATTACGTAGTGTAGAGTGCTGTGTAGAGCAAGGTAGTGTTGGGTCACTTTGCATATCCGCAGTGCAGCGTCACAGTGTCGGAGCCGAGAGTGGAAAGCGGTACCTAAAGCAGCGGAGCCCACCGAATGAAAGCTCTATGATACAGAAACACGGCTGCGCTCATGGGTGCACATGGTTGGGTAGGGACTGGCAGTGCCAGGTAGTGAACCAGAATCGTGGGCAGGGCCAGGCCAGGGCACTCGTATTCTCTTGAAACAGGTGTGTTGATACTACAAGGTAGGGTCTTATTACAATGGGTGGTTCTGCCGGCCGGTGGGGAAGAGAGAAGGAAAAGGGGAGGAAGGAGCCCCATCTTTCTGAGTAGGGCTGGGTGGCCGTGGGGGTTGTCTGGATGCCTCTTTGGAGGGGTGGGCTTATATTGCTACGCCCCCCAAGAGTTCCCAGCAGGCTTCTCGGTGTCCCCTTGGCATGCCATCGTCGGGCCCCAGGGGGGTCCAGAGGCTTAGCCGTGGATGGGGCTTCCCTGGGGCGGGCGTTGGGGCTTCCCTGCGGACTGTGGGGCTTCCCTTGGAACGGGTGTTGGGACTTCCCTGTGGACCGTGGGCTTCTCACACTGCACTCTCTCCCAGGGCTCGGAGCTGGGAGGCTGGTCTCTGGGGCGCTGGACCCATGACGGGATTGACATCAGCAACAACTTTCCTGACCTCAACACGCTGCTCTGGGAGGCCGAGGACCGGCAGGAAGTCCCGAAGAAGGTTCCTAACCACCACATCCCCATTCCTGACTGGTTTCTGCATGAGAACGCCACGGTGAGTGACAAGTGCTGTGTGCGGAGCGGTGGGGGTCACAGAGCAGCCTGGGGGACGTGCAGGGGCCTTGGGGACGTGCAGGGCACATGGCATTTCCGAGCGAGACAGAACCAGTTTTTCTTTCTTGTTTTCTCCAGAAGTAAAGTGTGCTGGTTAATAGCCAACTTTTAGACTGACCCTTGGGAAATTCTTCATAGAAATCATTGAATTATATTTTTTTGCAACCACCGAGTGCTTCAAAATGACACGACACCCCCTGAATTGTGTGTGCGTCGCTATCATAATGATTCTCATCGTTGTCAATTATGTGACTGTGAAATTGTCCTCAGCCCACACGGATTGTTTGATCTGTGTTATTTTCATTTTAATGAGCAGTCTCCATGGATTATTGTGTGTGGTGTTCCTTTGGAAAGAAAAATGAAATTGATGAGGAATGTTTTCTGAAAATTTCTCGGGTCTGGTCTCGCAAAGAATGTGTTGTAGAAGAAGCGGTGCTCACGGCATGGCCCATGCCTTTATCACCCACAGCAACTCACCTCCGTCCCCTGACTCCCAGGCCGTCCGTGAACTTCAGGTCTGCCTTGGTGGGCACATCAGTTAGGGTTGGGTTCAGCTGCAGCAACCAAAAAATCAAAATGAGTAACTTAACAAGGGAGACAACTGCTGCTTTGTTCACAGGAGAGGGTCTTGAAGGCAGAGCTGGCCAGAGAAGGCCGGTGACTGTGAGGGAACCCAGGATCCCTGTCTCCTCCTGCCCCGCCGGGCGACCTGGGACTTCTGTCATCAAGCCCATAAGCCAAGGTGGCAGTCGGTGCTGAGCTGTCGTGTCCATGGAGAAAGAGGAGAGAAAGGGCTTTAAAGAGAGGAGGGTGCTCAGACTGCTTAGTTGCCTACAGGAGACCCTCTGCGTGAGCCCCCTGCCCAGGCCTCACTGGCCTGAGTTCAGCGGCCTATGGTGCCACCGCAGTGAAAGGCCGCGTTCAGGCACACGTGCTGCAAGCCCCAAACGGCGCTCGGCATCTGATCAAGGGAGGCAGCTGCAGGAGGCAGCAGCTCCTGTGTGAGGCTCTGCCCGGCACAGCAGTGCGGGCACCACTCACGGCAGGGCCCACGAGGGCGGTCTCACCCCGGCGGCCCCGGGCTGTGGCATGCAGGCCCTCAGAAGTCGTGGGGTGGACATTGTGGCGCAGTGCGCTGAGCTGCACTTGCAATGCCCATGTCCCCTTTCGGAGTGCAGGTTTGAGTTCTGGCTCCTCCACCTCTGATCCAGCTTCCTGCTAATGCTGCGTCCTGGGAGACGGCCGATGATGGCCGAGTGCTTGGGCCCGTATCATCCACGTGGGAAACCGGGAGGGAATCCTGGGCTCCAGGCTTCGGCTTGGCCCTGCCCTGGCGTATGCAGCCATTTGGACAGTAAACCAGCATACGGAAGATATCCCTTTCTCTCTCCCTCATCCCAGCAGTCGAAGGAGGGGGACAAGCATGGCAATGCAGGGTGGCTTGCTCAGGACACCCAGGGCGGCTCGTGGGGGTGAGGGATTCAGGGCTCTGTGTGCTCCGAACCCTTCCTCATGGTTCCTGTCTCCAATGCACAGGGTCCCCCTCTCCCCCGGGTGTCATCCTCGTGACGTTTTGCAAAGCTGAGGACACAGGAGCTGTTACCACTGGGGAGTGCCGGGACCGAAACTGGGGTTTGGTGGCCAGCGTTCCGCGCCCTGAGGCTGCACGAGATGAGCCATTGGAAGTCCACGCTCCGGCCAGTCGTGCAGGGTTCCTGTTCTCAGTCTCTGCTTGGAGACTGGAATCCGGTTGTGGAGCTCGTACTTAGGACAGAGGGAGACCTCACCCACACCTGCTCTCCCTGCTCCCGTCCCCAGTCAGGGACGTGCTAGGGAGGCAAGAAATCACCAAAGAGGGAGCCGTGGATAAGACGTGGAGCAGGCTCCACAGGGGGCCCCGACAGTTCTGGGACCAGCAGTTGGAGAACAGATGTGTTTGCTCATCAGTGCTGGGCGCACTTTCAGCACCTGCGGATCCACTAGGGATCCGCAACCTCAGGGAACAGGAGTCGCACAGAGCCCGGCCCCGTGACCGTCCAGTTACACTGAAAGACGGGTAGAGGGCTACTGTACAACAGTGCTGAGCATTCAGAAAAGATGTTAAAACTTCTAATAACAAACGGGTCAAAGGAAAGACTGTACTGGCCACTACAAAAACATTAAAACTGAATGATAATGGCAGCATGACAAACAAAAATGTGTGGAATACAGCAAAAAAAAAAAAAAAGTGCCTTTGAGTAGCTTGTACCTTTTAGTGATTAAACAGCTAAAGAAAGGCTGAAAATGAACTGACTTAAGAAGTACATAGAAAAATACTAGAAGAAATACAAAGAAAGTAGAAAGATTGATTAAAAAGTAAGAAGAGAAACCAATGAAAAGGTAGAAAAAATGAAGTCATTTGCCTGCAGGAAGAAGCACTTGGTAGAATTTAATAATCACTCCCCACACAGCCTCTTAGTAAAACCTTAGAATGTAAATGATTCACTTCTGGGGCCAGGAAGACTACTTAAACACAATACACTCAGCATTAATCATAAAATAAAAGATTAATAAATTCAGCCACACCAAAATAAGAAAGCCCGTTCATTGAAAGACTTTAGAACTATAATGACAGGCTAAGCCCTGGGAGAAGATATTCTCAAATTGCATCACTGAGAAAGGATTAGAATTTTAAGAGACATAAAGGATAACAAATAAAAAAAATATGAAGAGCTCAGTAGCAAAAATGGGCGAAAAGTGTGAAGAGGCAACGTGTGGAGGAAGCAGACGGTGAATAAGCGTGAAAGATGCTGCCCCTGGCTCCCGCTGGGGAGACGCAACGACAGAGCCTGTGACGTCCGCCGAGGGGGGCATGGGAGGGTGGGTCTCCTGCCCACCGTGGGCACTGCGTGGGCACACGTGTGCCCCAGGGCAGGCCAAGAGAGTTCCAAGCACTACTGTTCCCTTCGGCAAAAGACCGAACGTGCCCCAGCACACCCTCACCGTAAGCGCACATCAATCATACTTCATACTGAAGTGGAAAAGACTTTAGGGCAGCTGTATTCAACAGAGGCAACTCTTACGTGGCATTGGGTGGAGAGAACCAAATTGCAGAAAAAAATTCAGAGCCACCACCCTCCTGCCTCCCTTTAGATTAAAAGCAAATCAAACTCAAAGATGCCTGTTTAGGCCAATTCATCAGGGAGAGAATGAGAACTGATGGCCGAGGGAGGGGAGGGTGGAGTCACGTGGGTTCATGGAAGTTAGCGATGGCAGCCGGCCTTGGGGGCTGGAGGGTGGCTCACAGGGGCTCCTTCTTACACGGAAGCCTGCCACAGGCCAGTGAGGAGACCAGGTGAGCACGTTCTGGGTTAGCCCAAGCCAGGGCCCTGATGTGTTTAAAAACCAAGGGTAAACGCTGCGGATCCCGCCAAGCCCGTTCCGTCCCTGCAGCCGTCTTCCGCTTGGCGCTGTTGTGTGATTCCCAGAGTCCCCTCTCTGTCATTTTCACTCCCGTCTTGCTGAAGTGATTCACTCAGGGGTCTGTCATTTATGAGAGATGCTGGATTCATTGGCCAGTAGTCGAACAACTCACACCTTCCAATGTTAGCTTTTTAAAAAAAAAAAAAACGATTTATTTTATTTATTTGAAAGACAGAATTACAGAGAGAGGTAGAGGCAGAGAAAGAGGTCTTCATCCAATGGTTCACTCCCCATCCAATGGCCAGAGCTGCACTGACCCAAAGCCAGGGGCCAGGAGCTTCTTCTGGGTCTCTCACATGGGTGCAGGGGCCCAAGGACTTGGGCCATCTTCCAATGCCTTCCCAGGCCACAGCAGAGAGCTGGATTGGAAGAGGAGCAGCCAGGACTAGAACTGGCGCCCATATGGGATGCTGGCGCTTCAGGCCAGGGCATTAACCCACTGCACCACAGCGCCAGCCCCTCCAATGTTAGCTTTTAAAAGTTTTCCTTAACATTTTATCATAAAAAAGTATCCAGCATTAAAAAAAAAAATATCAGAGAAAAGCTGTGTGAAGGCCCACAAGGAGCCTGTCTCATCTCGGACGCATCTGCTCACGCACTGTCAGCACCGTCACCCACCCTGCCCCCCCTTCAGGTACGAAGGAAATACCAGGCATTTCACTGTTTCATTTATAAGTACTTATTGATTTTAACAATGTTTTTAGAAAACATGGTGATTTTAGAAAATGCAGATACTCCTTTTGTGGGGAGCAACCCGGACTGGACTGAGTTACTGGAATTAAGACTTATTCTATGCATCTGCTCTCCCACAATATGGCGCTGGGAGAGGAGGAAAACAGCTTCTACCCAGCTGCCTCCAGTTCAACCAATAAACAGCAGGACCTGCTCCTGATTGGAGGAGAGCAGCGTACTCGGCGTGTGGGCAGCCGAGCACGGATTGGCGGAGGAGGACTATAAAGGAGGAGAGAGACGGCATGCACCAGGAACATCTAAGGGGAACACCTGTGCAGCCCCCAAGAGAGCCGGCCGGCGGTGTGCCGCTCCCCCGCGGAAGTGGGGAATGTGGCAGGGGGAACCGCCCTTCCACGGAGGTGGAAGGGTCGGTAGCCAACCCGGGAAGAACCAGCAGCAAACCCGGGGAGGGCCGAGCAGATGAAAGAACAGCGCAGGGTTCTGTGTCGTTCCTCCACGAAGAGGGGGAGCGACACCTTTAAAGCCATAGATCATGGCCGATTGAATGTCTCTCAGCTGAAATGCTTGGGACCAAAATATATGCATTCTGTTTTTCATGTTTTTGGGATCCAAGTATAAACAAAATTCATTGATGTTCCCTACTCACCTTACACAGCCTGGAGGTAATCTTATACAATATTTTAAACAATTTTGTGCGTAAAACAAGTCCCACACTGTGCAATTTCCCACTTGAGGCATCATATTTGTGCTCAAAAGTTTCAGATTTTGGGTTTTTGGACTTGGGATGCTCAGCCTGTGCCGTTATCATTTCCTAACAGCCACTCAGTGTCCGTGTTTGGGCTTTGAGTTAGCCTCTCATTCTCTCTCATCCCCCGCTGCCCGCTGGGGTCTAAATCAGCATGCTAATAAAGTCCCTTCATTTTGGCTGGTTTGTAAGCCTCATTTAAAGGATCGATCGGTCGGTTTCCTCTCTGTTACTTTCTGTTCTTCCCCTACGATTGATGCTCTTGTTTATCTCTAACGACGAAGCGTTTTCCTGCTGCCCGTGAGTTTGTTCCTCTAAATTTCCTGTAAATTGGCCTGGATAGAGCAGGAGCTGGCAACCCCCGCCCTGCCCCCAGGGCTAAGTCCCACCCGGGCCTGCTTTGTCAGTGGGGTTTGCTGGCTCACGGCCACGTGCCTGCACTTGGCTTTGCCTAGGGAGCTTGCGTCAGGGCACGGCTGGGGAGTCCTGATGGAAGCCACGTGGCCCACACAGCCTGGAACGTTTCCTGTCTGGTTCTTAACAGAAACGGCCTGCTGATGCCTGGGCTGGGGGCTGGGTCAGGGTCAGGCTTGCTGTGTGGACGTGTGTTCCAGAGTCAGCCCTGCTGTGCGTGGATGTGTGTTCCTCCATTGGCGGCCCAGTGTGGTGTGCGTGGCTGTGTCTCCTCCTTGTGCTGTGTGTAGCTGGCAATGAATGGCCCTGGCCCATTAATTCACTGGCCTTGCAAAATGATACCACTTGGATCTCCCAGGGTGGATTTCAAAATGCTAAATGTGTCAGCATTGGTCCATCAAACGCGTGGCTTTTCACACATGTCCCTGTTTCGAGAGCTAGGGAGGGAAGCGGTTTCTGCCTCCTTGTATTTATCGGCTCTGCCTGTTCACAGGTGGCCGCGGAGACCAGAGCGGTCATAGCCTGGATGGAAAAGATCCCCTTCGTGCTGGGCGGCAACCTGCAGGGGGGCGAGCTGGTGGTGGCCTACCCCTACGACATGGTGCGCTCCCTGTGGAAGACACAGGAGCACACGCCCACGCCCGACGACCACGTGTTCCGCTGGCTGGCCTACTCCTACGCCTCCACCCACCGCCTCATGACGGACGCCCGCCGGAGGGTGTGCCACACGGAGGACTTCCAGAAGGAGGAGGGCACGGTCAACGGGGCGTCCTGGCACACCGTCGCGGGAAGTAAGTGCCATCTGCCCCGCCCAGCGACAGATGACATCAGGCACTGGGGCAGTGCCCCTCCCATCGTCCTTCCCATGGTGTCCAGCCTTGTCGTGGTAATAGCTGTGGGGTGAGCTCCTTGCCCAGTAGTCTCGGGGCTGGGTGTGTTCACTCCGTTTTATAGCCGAGATACTGGGGATTCGGAGGCTTGAAGAAACAGCTCACGGGAGCAGGGCGAGAGCTGGGGCTGTCTCTGAGCTGTTGCACTGGGCTGATGGGACTTTACCGCATCAGAGATGGGGGAAGTAAGACCTGGTGGCCATATTGGCCCCACAGGGAGACCTAGAGAAGGGGCAGAGAGCATGGTGGTCCTGGCCCTGGAGCAGGGATGTTCACCCAGAGCCCTTCTGCTTTGGGGGGATGGCCGTGCTGAGTCTACAAGACCGGCCTGGATCCCAGCCTGGGTGTGAAGTGACCACGAGCTGCAGGTGGCGTCCTAGACCCAACGTGTGTGAAGGCCGATTCCTGCATCTCTGCTGTTACACGGTCAGGCCAGGCCTCCAGGGGGTCAAAGCAGACCCTGCACCGTGTAATTCGAGGTTTGCTCCTGGTATCCCTGGGACTGGAGAGACTTCCAGGAGAGACTCCAGGGATTGCTTTGCAGCAGCCAAAGAACCCCACCGTCTGCGGGTCAGGGTAGCCTCTGCTTCCTGGTTCAGGCGGTTCCCAGCCCGGGACTCCGGGGGCAGGAGGGGTGGAGATGGCGGGTCCTCTCAGCCCCCAGGCATGAAGCTCTCTGCTTCTTGCCTTGACTTTACGAGGGTCGTGCAAGCCAGTGGTGAATCTGAGAAGTGTTCATGTAGAACAGACTCCTCCCATCATTCTTTGCCGGGTGACACCGGGGAAGTTACTTTACCTCCCTGCCCCCTGGCTTGTATCCACCTGTAAGGGGACGGGGCGGGGGTGGTGCCACCCGCTCAGTGCTCTGAGGGTTGCAAAGGTGGCGGACTGGGGTGTGCTCATGGGGCTGGTCAGGGACCCTGGGTCGTAGACTCCCACTTCTAGCGTCTCCCTCTCTGCGTAGGCTGCTCTCCACGGCGTCCTCACTCTGTGTCACTATGCTAATGAATGTTATCTTACTTGCTGGAAATTCAGTCCTCACACTTTTCAAGTGTGTCTCCAGCCTTAGGAAGGAAAAACGTGGAAAGATTTGTCTCCCTGGCTCTCGTAAAGCTCTCCACAGACGCTCGCTGTCTCGTCTCGGTGACAGCCCAAGCAGGGGCGTTCACGCCTACTCTGTCAGGGTTTTGCTCTGTGTGGAATAAAATAAATGCATGTAAATTTGCATCTTTCAGATGCATCTATCAATTTTCCTAACTGAGCCCAGAAAACCTACCCACAGAGGTCTCTAGGTTGTGTCTGGGGACAGCTGGGTTTGCCGGCACCGGTCCACAGCAAGGTTCTGAAACGCCGGCCTCCCACGATCGCATGGGCGGCGCTGGGTTGTTTTGCTGTCGGTTGTATTGCCCATTATCTCGGGGACCTGGCGGCGCAGCCATGTGGCGGCTCGGGCTGTGTAGTCATTCTTCCCGCAGTGTGGCCAGATCTGCAGATTCCTCGCTTTGGAGATTAATGAGAGGCGATTTCTGCTTCCTCCCTCCTCCCCCGCCCGCCTCTGCATCTTTTGTTCCCTTCCTTCTCACTCATTAGTGCGGGGCCCCACAGGCACTGGCAGAGCGCGGAGGGGCCGTCGGGAGCGGAGTTCGGTACATTTCAACTCGCATCCTTCGCAGGGGCGTGTGTTGGGCTCGCTCTGCTCCGCGGCTGCTGTCCTGTGCCCTCGCCTACAGGGTGAGGCCTGGGGACCCCAGCACCTAAGCAACATGCGACGCTGCACTGGGCTGGCGACAAGACCAGGATTCCGTCCCCAGAGGGAGCACAAAGTGATTCTGGCCACCCCCAGCCCCGCCTGGAGGTTTTTAAGGAACTGCCCGGCTCCCACCCCCAGCTCCTTGTCCACCTGTGCTGCACGCAGGAGGTAAAGGCTCACTCCTGAAGCCACGCTCTGGCCACGTGTGGCCTGTCCCACGCTTTCTTGTTGGAGCCCAGGTGTGACCTCCTAAGAGCTGTGCCAGCGACGTCAGTGGCTCCAGTCTGGAATCTGGTAGCTGGGACGGGTGTCGTGTTTGGCACCCTTTAGCCGCAGATGTCAGGGATGGGGCAGCAGACGGAGACTGAGCAGCTCTTGACACCCAAAGGCCCGGACTCTACCCCAGACACTGGGACGAGCCCTGGAGAGGCTCCCTTTCAGTCAGCAAAGTGAGGAGGGAACGACAGGGCGGGGAGGCCGGGACTGGGGGAGGCCAGGAAACCTCCAGTCAGCAGAGCCCAGGCCCCAGCCCAGGGGATCCTCAGAGGCGCCCTGCTTCTGGGGCTGTTTCAGACAGGCAGAGCTGCAAGGGGCCCTGGGAGGCAGCAGAAAGGTTCTGGAACATTCAGAGGACTTCCTGTCAACAGGGAGGTGGGGGCTTTCCACCACAGACAGAGCTGAACAGTAGAGCCAGGGTGTGTGGCTGGGGAGATGCAGCCAGAAGATACAAATGGAAAGATTTGCAGCGAAGACGGAGCCCAGTACGAGGGCGTCTTTGACAAAAGGCCGGCATAGGGATGCGATATTCATTTTATTAAAGCCAGTTTAACACTCATTGTTGGAAGGAAGCTATCATTAAAATCAACACTGGATTTTTTGGAAAGATTTATTTATTGAAGGAGTTACAAAGACACGCACAGAAAAGGAGAGAGAGAGAGAGAGAGAGAGAGAGAGAGAGAGAGAGAGAGAGATCTTCCATCCTCTGGCTCACTCCCAAATGGCCAGGCCAAAGCCTGGAGCCTGGAACTTCATCCGGGTCTCCCACGTGGATGCAGAGGCCCAGGCACTTGGGCCGTTGTCCACTGCCTTCCCAGGTGTGTCAGCAGGGAGCTGGAGCAGAGTGGAACAGGCAGGACAGGACTGGTGCTCTTATGGGATGCCGGCGTTGGGAGCAACACAGCCTGCTGTGCCCCACACTGTGGATTCAATGTTTCAGCACGCTTGTCTCGGTGGTGGTGCTGGTCTCGGCCGTGGCTCTGCCTCCCCCTGGTGCTGGCCTCGGCCGCGGCTCTGCCTCCCCGTGGTGCTGGTCTCGGCCGCGGCTCTGCCACCCCGTGGTGCTGGCCTCGGCCGTGGCTCTGCCTCCCCGTGGTGCTGGCCTCGGCCGCAGCTCTGCTTCCCTGTGCCCCCTGCTGCATCGTGCAGTCACAAGGTGTTCCTGTTGGCTCGCAGGTCTCAACGACTTCAGCTACCTTCACACAAACTGCTTCGAGCTCTCCATCTACGTGGGCTGTGATAAATACCCACACGAGAGCCAGCTGCCCGAGGAGTGGGAGAACAACCGGGAATCCCTGATCGTGTTCATGGAACAGGTACGGCCTGGACGCGGCTGCCAGCAGGGGCTAGCCAAGGCTGTGGGCGTGGCTGTCAGTGTGGGAGTGGATTAGGGTTGTCATTGACAGGAAAATCTCTTTGATTTCTTTCCTCTCTGGCTCTGAAGTCATTAAGCCCTCCTAGCCTAGGAAAATAAAAGTCAATGTGCCTATAAAATTAAATGCCAGTTGTCAGGGAATGTGTTTTTGTGACATCTCAGAGTCTAATTAATTCTTTAAACCTCTCGAGTATTTTAATCCCCCTGGGGAGCCCTCCGGAGCACAACCCCAGAAGGCAGGCAGATGTTTATACGCAGGTCTCGCAGAGCCAGGCGGCCTTCTGAGCTGGACGTGAGGCTGTGGGTGCCCTTGGTGGGGACCGGGCCCACGCTGGGCTGGTGGCACTGCCTCGGGCTGGCTGTGTGCAGAGCCCCACGGAGACCTCACCCCCGGTCTCGCTGTGTTTGCTGAGCAGGTCCACCGTGGCATCAAAGGCATGGTGAGAGATTCCCACGGAAAAGGAATTCCAAATGCCGTTATCTCCGTAGAAGGGGTCAACCACGACGTCCGAACAGGTAACCACGCGTGTCTGCGCTGTCTCTGGGTAAAGAATGTCTCTTTCCCTGAAGTGTCTCGCTTGGGTTCTGCTCAGGAACTGAGAGCCGGAAGCATCTTGCAAGACCTGAATCAGTGTCTCCCTCCTCGCACACTCCGCTTTCCAGAGACCCCTGGAAGCGAGTTTCCAGCCTCGGCTTCCCGAGCCCTCCCTGGAGCGCACGTGGAGCAGCCGACTGACTTCCAGCACACTGGCAGTTTCTGAGAAATGGACGAAAGTGCTCTGTCTCTGTGGGGTTGTGAGACACGCGGGAGGCTTAGCTCCTGGACCAGGCAAACAGAGGGACTGGAGAGAGAGGGCATCAGGGTGCCCCAAGAGGAAGACGCTGTCAGTCAGGGCGGTACAGGTCGGCGTTCGTGGTCCTGGGGGGCCAGGTCAGAGCTGGAGGGGGAGTTCCCAGGGCACAGCAGCCCGGGGCCGACTGGAGAGGCGGTTGGGGTCGCGCCTTAGGTGCCCGTCCAGGGAGTTCCCTGAAATCAGAGGAACCTGCTGACGTGTTCAGATGTGGGATGTGTTCGGAAGACGTGGGTGTCTGCCATGTGACGCATAGGCCGGCAGTCCCGGCGAGGCTAAGCCTGCCGCTGCGTTTAGCTTTACTGTGCTAACTTGGTTACTCCTGGCCTCAGTCCTGTTTTCTTGAGATGCTCATTAGATGAAGAAATGAAGCCCAAGAAGTGTCGCAGCTCCCACCCACTGGAAGGGGCCAAAGGCGGGGTGGTGGCTCGCACCATTCCCAGTTGAATGGGGGGCAGAACATTCTAGAACCTTGGAGAATTGCAGATAGGAAGAAGACCGGGGGGCAGAACATTCTAGAACCTTGGAGAATTGCAGATAGGAAGAAGACCTTTAAAAGGCACTGCTGAGATGCGGTCGAACTCTCCTTACTGTCACAGAAAAGGACTGCGAGACGCCGGCCTTAGGAGCCAGGCTCAGTCTCGAGTTCCCGAGACACCAGCGCCGCGTTTTCCGCGTTTTCCGATGTGCTTCCCGCGGCCGTGCGGTGCCGCAGCGTAGCGGGGCGCTGAGCTTGTCCTCCCGCGGCCTTCTCAGAGGTCGTCCCTGCAGCTTCTCTCTCCCTGCCCTTTTCACTCTGCGAAGGAGGCCGGCCACTGCCGTCCCCTGATCCAGGCGAGGAACGAGCAAAGAGGGCCCTGGACCCAGTAAGAACAGGTCCAAGAGGAGAGGGCCTGACTTCCGGTCCGACTCCCGTCGCAGCGGGAAGCTGCCTTCCTTTCCGCTGAGATGTCCTTGACTGTCTCCTTCTTTGATGTGCAGTCATGAGCCCCACAGTGATCAGCAGCCACATACGTGACCACACACGTGACCTCACGTGTGCCTGCGTGTGTGATGGTGGTCCTAGTGCCGTCCCAGCAACCTCAGTGTGTGTAAATGCCCTCTATGATGCCTGCACCACGAGTCTCCTGACAGGTCCATCTCAAAGTGCGTCCCCACTGTTAGGAACACGTGGTCGGGCCGGCGCTGTGGTCGGGTTAATCCTCTGCCTGTGGTGCCGGCATCCCGTATAGGCGCCTTTGAGTCCCGGCTGCTCCTCTTCCGATCCAGCTCTCTGCTGTGGCCTGGGAAAGCAGTAGAGGATGGCCCAAGTGCTTGGGCCCCTGCACCTCATGGGAGACCTGGAGGAAGCTCCGGGCTCCTGGCTTCAGGCCGGCCCAGCTCAGCGGTTACAGCCGTTTGGGGAGTGAACCAGCAGATGGAAGACCTCTCACTATCTATAACTCTACTCTCAAATAAATAGTAAAATGTTAAAAAAAAAAAAAAAAACAATGGTTGTAGAAGGGGACTTCAAATCCTCATGGAAAATGGAATTAAAAGATAAGTTTAGTTTGTTGCAAAACATTTTTGAAATGCATGTATACAAGAGCTCTTCAAAAACTCATAGAAAGACAAATTACACATGTTCTCCCTTACGTGTGTGTGTGTGTGTGTGTGAGAGAGAGAGAGAGAGAGAGAGAGAGAGTGGCAAGGTGGAAGGGAGGAAAGAAATGCCGTGTGTATCAGTTTTATCGCAAATATGGTGTTTTCTCAAACGTTCAGTATTTGTCGATAGGAATTCTATACTACCGTGGTAGTAACGGTTTTGTGACTGTTTTAAAATTGATTTTCTATGAGTGAAGTTGAACATGTTTTCATTTGATTATTGTGTAGAGCCCTTGCCTGTTTTCTTGCTTATTTTACTTCTTAGTTGTTGAACTCTTTACTTAGTAGAGTCATTAAGCTTTGAATAGAATGAGTATTAAAAATAATGTTATCTCAGGCCAGCGCCATGGCTCACTAGGCTAATCCTCCGCCTATGGCGCCGGCACCCCAGGTTCTAGTCCCGGTTAGGGCGCCGGATTCTGTTCCTATTGCTCCTCTTCCAGTCCAGCTCTCTGCTGTGGCCCAGGAAGGCAGTGGAGGATGGCCCAAGTGCTTGGGCCCTGCACCCCATGGGAGACCAGGAGAAGCACCTGGCTCCTGGCTTCTGATCTGCGCAGTGCACAGGCCGCAGTGGCCATTCAGGGGGTGAACCAATGGAAGGAAGACCTCTCTCTCTCTCTCTCTCTCCTTCACTGTCTAATTCTGCCTGTCAATAAATAAATAAATAAATAATTTTATCTCAGTAAATATATTTTTTAAATTTTATGGAAAATGCCCATTATGAAAAACTATAAGTGGGTTTCAATTTTATTTTTTTTTGCACCCAAACAGACTTATCATTTAATCCCACTTTGCCGTGAACTTTGTCAGGACCCCTCGTGTTACCTGCAATACCGCGTGGCCACTCACAAGCAGTGGGCGCCCAGTAGATGTTTGTTGCTGATGAATGAGTGGACCTGAGGTGGTGTTTCCAGGCTACACAGTGAGTGGCAGAGCTGTGATTTGAGCCGAGGACTTCAGACCCCAAATCCAGTTCCTGGTCCTTTATCCCCGCGCTCATTCCGAGGGCGCGGAGGCCCCTCTCTGCATTCCGTAGCCACAGATCCTAAACTCCCAACAAGTCAGCCTGCATGACCTGCCCGGAGAGGGAGACCCGGGGACCTGAGGACGAGGTGAGGCAGGCTCAGACCAGCGCCATGGACTGCTCTGTGCCAGGCTGCCGGTCAGCGTGCCTGGCGTAGAAGCCAGTTGTTTAAGTGTGTCTGAAACAGAGTGGCAGGCTGCTGTGTCATGCTGTGACTTGCGTTCTTCCCATTTAGTTACCAATTTGTTTTACTCAGTATTATTTAGAAATTATTCTTATTTATTGAAGAGGCAAAGGGATAGATAGAGACGGTCATCTCCCATCTGCTGGTTCACTCCCCCAAATACCTACAGCAGCCAGGGCTGGGCCAGGCCAAAGCCAGGATTCAGGAGCTCCCTCCAGGGCTCCCATGTGGCGGGTGGGAACCCTGGTGCTCCAGTCCTCACCGCCGCCTCGCAGGATCTGCAGTCAGGAGCCAGGTGGGAGCCTGGTGGGAGCTGCAGTCAGGAGCCAGGGCGGGGGATCGAACCCAGGTACTGGACAGAGGTCAGGGGTGCTTGGAGGATATCTAACACCCCAGGTTCACCACCAGCCCCATGATATTTTCTGAGAATTCTTGCCATTTGGCCTCGATCGTAGGGCCGTAGACCACGAGGTTTCCTACTCTACAGCATGGTGTTCTGTCCCTGGTGGCCCCTGGCAGGCGTCCATTTGTTCATTTATTTACTTACTCATCCGCTAACTCAGCGCCTGTGGCTTGCGTCCCCACCGCGGGCTGGAGCCTGCGCAGGGTGCTGGCGACCGCTGTGAGTGAAAGACAGGCTCCTGGATCTGGCTCTGTGTGGGACTTGATTTTAAACACTGCCGATGAGCGCCTCTAAAAAGAATGATTTATAGAAGAGCCTGGAACGTTCCTGGGACTATTTAGTGCCTCATTCGCAATGTGAGAAAACATAAGAGTTTTAATCTGAGTGGGAGAGAAAAAGGCCCCGGGGCCCCCTAAGCTGGGGATGAGAACGCCTTGCCTAATGGGCTCCGAAATTCAAGCCCCTATAATTAAGGAGACAGTTTGGATGAGCTAATGGGAAATGGCTCTCTCTCTCTCTCTCTCCCCCCCCCCGTTTATTCCCCCCCATAAATAATTTCTCAGCGTATTCGCACGACAGATGAATCCTCTGGTCTGCACATGGCTTTTTGTTTTATTGGTTCCAGCATCTTTCAGCTCTGAGCACAGGCTCCAAGCCTGCCTTGATTTGTGTCTGAGGCTTATGCGATCTGACAAGTTTTATTTCAGGAGGGATTTGGCATAAAGTAACTGGAGATATTGAGTGGAAGCCCACAGGGCCAGAAGCTAGCAGGAGTGCTGTTGAAATGCCTAGGAGCAGGTCGGCCCCGCACCTGACCAGCATTCTCCGTGACTGTCCCTGGTTTGGTGGACCCTAACCTGACCCTGGGCTCACGTTGCTGCTTCTGTCTGCGAGTGCCCAGCCCTGCCCACTGTGTGTCCACCCTGCACTGGGATTCTGTGGAACAGCCCGCCGTGGGCACAGCCCTGATGGCTCACAGGGACAGGAACCGGCACGGTGGCCCCTGAGCTGCATAAGGTGGCTGGTTCCAGGCCTTGCTGGTCCTCGGGGTGGAAGCAGAGGTCGTGGAGCCTCAGGGTGGACGTGGGAAAGGGCAGCCAGGAACACTGCCAGGCCGCCAGACACTCCTGTCCGGGTTCCTGAAGCTCAGGCTTTCGGGTTCCGGAGCTGACACCCCTCGTGCGGACTCCGAGCCTGTGTTGAGCTCCTGCTGCGTGTCGTACTGGGGAGACTGCAGGGAGCTGAGGGTGCCCTGGCCACTACGAGTGCGCGCTCTCCCAGAGGAGACCTATGAGGCTCACAGGAGAAACTGCAGACGGTCACCGCGGACTGTGTCAAGAGGCTGGCGAGGGTGCCCCACCTGCGGGCAGGAGCACGGAGCCTGCAGACAGAGGGGACAGTAGCTACAAGGGGTCAGAGTCAGTGAGGGAGAGGCTGTGTGTGCCTGGGGGACGCCTGGGGCCAGTTCGGCCAGAGTTTGGCTTTTGCTCTGAGTGCTTGGTCCTCCCCTATGTAGCCCGAGTCCCCGGGGCCACCGACAGTCTCCATCTGCTCGTCCACTTCTCCTTGTCACACGAGCCCAGGTCCTAGGCTGAGGCCACTCCACCCAGGAGCTGTCAGCCTGGTGTGCACGCTGAAGTCCCCAGCACATGTGACACGGGAGGAGACCCCAGGGACCCTCATGCAGGGGAGGATGGAGCCAGCCTTGACTCTCGGCCCCTCCAGGCAGCTGCATGATGTAGGCCGTGTGGTTAACCCCCTTTTCCACATGAAGGAGTTGATGCCCAGAGAGGGGTTCTGTCCCCCCCAAGGCCACACCACCACGGTGACCATGACGACTGGAATGTCCTGCCCAGTCTAACGCTTTGGTGCCAGGTAACGAGAAGAAGCTGGGTTTGATCAAGAACCAAGTAGGCCCTGGGAAATTTACTGTTCTGCACAAGTCCTGAAATCTTCTAAGGGATGGAAGAAAACCACACATGTGTAAATGTCACAGATAAACAGCTGTCGTGCGTGTATAAACATCCATCTCCCACGTACGTGCACGTAACACTTTGAAGCCTCAGGTTGAACTTGGCATTGTAACCTTGATTCCTGCAGATGCACCATGCGATGCAGGAGTGCAGGACGCCACAGGAAACACGGGGGCAGGTGGAGGCCATAGGTGAAGCAGTTTGCTCGGTGGTGAGCAGGACTCCATACAAGAGGCCCAGGTCCACACACCCACAGGCACACACATGTAAACATACACACATGCATATATGCACAGACACACGGGCATGCATATACACACGCACACATATACATGCCCACACAGGCACACATGCATATACACATGAACACATACACACATAGAGGGCCACGTGGCATTTCTCAGTGCTGTACCCTGTATCTATTTGTCTTCAGTGACAATGTGAGACAAAATGGCACGTCCCAGCATTTCAGGAGGGGGGAGGCACATTGAGCAACCTTAAGCACACGGGGACTCGCCTGGGGAGACGGCTCTCTGGGCGGCACAGCGCCCTGGGCATTCAGGGTGGACCGAGCCACCTCCTTCCCTGTCCACCTGTGCTCTCACCACTCCCTCTGCCCACCTTGTCCTCAGCAGCAGGAGCCTCCTCCCGGTCCTGTCGTGGCCATAGCTCACAGCCGGCACAGCTGAGCAGGGAAAGAGAGGTGAGCCAGCAGGTGTCTTAGAAGGGTGAGACGGTGGCACGCTAAGCCACTCCAGGTGCTCAGAGGGGCTTGGTCAAGGCCGAGAGCCCACCCTGCTGGAGGCCAAGGAGAGCTCACAGTTGGTGCCGGTTGGGCAGCTGACCAGTGCTGTAGCTGGCGAGGCGGGGGTTCTGCCTTGCGGCATCAACTCTGAGCTGCCCTGGCCCCAACCGTGGGATGGAGGCCATGGGCCATGGAACGAGGTGTGGGTTCCGGGGCCTCCTCCGGGTCTCTTGGTCATTACAGGGCCCCACCCCTCTGAAAAACCGGTGCTCTGTATTGCCGTCTTGCTAAGGGAAGCCACGGCCTGATGGCTCTTCAGGATGGCGCTTCACCATGAGCACAAGTTCAAGTTCATAATGAATGGCTCGTGTTGTCACAGGGACGAGAGGGATGTCCCCCTCCCGGCTCGTGTGTGTTAGCACTGTAGGAGGCCCACACCCCGCACCCCTTCCTGTTATAACCAGGAAGGCAGCTTCCAAAGAGGAGACCAGCTTGGCTTCCCAGTGGCTAAGAGTCTGCACCGCGTGGCTGCAGAGCCCCTCTGCGCGGGGAGGCCGCCATGGAGGGGCCCGCGGTGCCTGTGTTGGGAAAGCGCTGCTCTGAGCTGCCCCGGGCTTCTCTCTTCACAGCCAGCGACGGGGACTACTGGCGCCTCCTGAACCCGGGCGAGTACGTGGTGACGGCCAAGGCAGAAGGCTTCACCGCGTCCACCAAGAGCTGTATGGTCGGCTACGCCATGGGGGCCACGCGCTGCGACTTCACCCTCAGCAAGACCAACCTGGCCCGGATCCGGGAGATCATGGAGAGGTTCGGGAAGCAGCCCCTCAGCCTGCCAGCCCGGCGGCTGAAGCTGCGGGTACGGAAGAGACGGCAGCGCGGGTGACCTCCCGCACCCTTGGGACTCGTCTGGGACCCATGCAGATGAAGCCAGCCCCAGTAGTAGCTGTCCTGTAGTGGCCTCGCCCACTGGTGTCTTCTCTGTGATCCTAGAGCCCCCTGCCCCACCCCCACCCCAGGAGCGCGTGTGAGCGTGACCAGGCTGGACCCGAAGGCTGCTTTTTTTTTTTCCTTTATTCCCATTTACCAGGCGCTTGGGCAGAGCAGCAGAGACAAGCGGGTGGGAGGGAGAGAAGTCAGCCAGTGGACCTGGGATTCAGAGAAGGAAGGAGCTAGCCTCCTCGGCCTCTTTCGGCACAGCCCCCACTGCCACCCCCCACCCCTTTGCGTGCCAGCAGACATTCCCGGGCATCGGCAATCAGCACCGCTAAAACGCCGCGTTCCCCGAGCCCTGCCGTCCTGAACATGACCATTAGAGATGCTCACAGGCAGCCTGGGAGCGTCCCCTTGCTGGCCCAGGACGTCCGGAGCTGCTGCAGGTGGCCCTGGCTCCCGTGACCGAGGGAGCATCAGCAGTCCCTCGAATGGGTTGTTTCCCTTGCAACAAGACTGTGTCCCTGAAAGGGGAGGGACACTGAATGATCAGAGGGTGACGCTGGGCAGCGGTGCGGTCCTGGGGGCTTGTGCGCAGGCTCGATCTGCAGAGCGGCCCCGACACCCCCAGGCCCTGGGGCTCCCCGAGTGCCAGCTTTCCCAAGGGCCCACGCAACAGCCTGGCTTGCCTCTTCCGCCGGCTGGGACCTGCAGAGAGCCAGGAGGAGGCTGAGCTGCGAGCTCCTGTCTGCTCAGGGTGCTGCACCTGCCGTAGACCTCGACGCTCCTGAGCTGGCCCCACACCCGTGGGTGAGGCATTGGCATGCGTGGACTGCCAGGCTTCCAAGTTAAACTAACTTTGGTGGAGAACTCCCAGGACTACCTGCGATTCAGGATCGTGGGTTCAGGAGGGTGACTGAAGGGCCAGCCGCATCTCACTTCCCATCCCAGCTGCTGCCTCACTCGCCTGGGATGAAAAATAAAGCAGGCAGATGTGAGCATTTTCGGCAGCGGAGTTTCTCTGGATAGACACGGCCACCCAAGCACCGTGCCCTCTGTCTCTGATGTTGGGCACCCCAGAGATGCTGCCTGCCTGGGGGTAGGCAACCTGTACCCCACAAAGGGGGGCAACAAGGCCAGCGCCTTCCGAGCAGAGATGGGGGCCTGCAGCCACTGGTGTCTCTTAGGGATGCCAGAGAGAGCATCTTTCAGTAAAAGCCCTTCATTTTTTCTATTTGAAAGGCAGAGAGGAGAGGGAGTGATTGATTCCGCCTGCTGGTTCACTCCTATCTGCAATAGCCGGTTCCAGGCCAGGTTGAAGCTGGAAGCCAGGGATTCAATGGGGGGGGGGGCAGGAATTCAGCCTCTGAAGTCATCGCTGCCCCCCGCCAGGGTGCACGTTAGCAGGAAGCTGGAGCCGAGCCTGAGCCAGGAACCAGAGCCAGGCGCTCTGCTGTCCTAGACGGGCAGGTGTGTCAGCTGCAGTCTTAACCACTAGGCTAAAAAAAACGCTGGCTTCCAGCATCTGCAGAGAAAAGAGTCTTGTGTAACTTTCTGGTCCCAGGGGGCAGTGAACTCTTCTTAGAAGGGGCCATACGTGGGCCATGCTGTGATGGAACAGGTTAAGGCACCACCTGTGACTCTGGCACCCACATGGGCACTGGTTTCAGTCCCGACTGCTCCACTTCCGGTCCAGCTCACTGCTAATATGCCTGGGAAAGCAGCAGAAGACAGCCCGAGGCTTTGGGTCCCTGCACCCACGTGGGAGACCTGGATGGAGTTCCTGCTCCTGGCTTTGACCTGGCCCAGTCCAGCCGTTGTGACCATTTGGAGAATGAACTAATGGATGGGAGATCTGTGTGTGTGTGTGTGTGTCCCTCTGTCTCTGTCACTCTGCCTTGCAAATGAATAAATCTTTTTTTAAAAAAAAATCACTAAAACCTGCAGCTTTGCAAGACATACAGTCCCAGTGGTAAGGACTCAGCTCTGCCCGTGCAGCGAAGTGGACACACACAAGCTGTAAACGCACAGGCGTGGCGGCACGCCAGTGGGACTTCGTCTACAAAAGCAGGTGGCGGCTGGATTTGGCCTGCAGGCTGGGACACAGTTGTCTCTGATGGAACGTTCCAGGAGGATGGAGATGTTCTATTCTGGGATTTCTGACGCAGCAGCACTAGCCCCTCTGGCTACTGAGCGCTTGCACGGCAGCCGATGCCATTTAGAAAGTGGCTTTCTAGGGTGATGTCACTTTGATGAATTCAAATGTAACTCGCAAGAGCCACTTGTGGCTGGGGGCTGCATAGTGGACCCTGCAGCTCTCAGTGAAGCCTGGAGTCGGAAACTCTCCCTCGCAGCACCAGAGAGCATTTACGATTGAAACTCCCCTGTCATTCAGAAGCACCTCTTTCCACATCTGCGGGGACCCTGTGGGTGTCAGGGCCCCGCCGTGCCTGCCTCGGAGGCGGGGCTGCACTCAGCGCCCGGCTGCACTCCGGGCCGGGATGACTGGGTCTTGATGCCGGTGGTGAGCTCCGCGCAGCCTCCACGTTCCTGCGAGTCGGCCCCCTCTGTGGAGCCTGTCAGCAGATGAGCCATCAGCAGGTGCCAGGGGCCCACAGCTGGCGGCACTGGCTTCCCGGGGATGGTGCTGCCCATCAGCGCGTGGTCCAGGGTCAGGCGGCCACTCCAGTCTCCCACCCACTCCTACGGCGCAAAGCCCCCGGGGCTCTGAGGGGCAGGCTGGCCGCGGGATTTGCTGGTTTCTGGCAGAGGCTGGCATCCCGACTTCCTACACTCTGTGCCGTTGGTTGGAGGCACTTCTGTGTTCAGCCCAGACCCTAGCCAGCCCCTGGACCCTCTCCCCATTGCCTTCGCCACTGCTCTTCAGCCGGATTCTCCTCCCAGGGACTGCACGAGGGGCTCAGCCCAGGCTGCTGCTCTCTCTAGGCCTGTCTCAGATGCCACCTCCTCCAGGAAGCCCTCCCCCACCCAGGACCACGGTGATTCCTGATGCCTTCGAACAAGTCTGCAGAGCCATCCGGGCCTCTCAGAGTCCTCCTTCAGGTCCTCCCTGGGCTGGTGTGGAGGCTTCGCAGCGGGTAGGACCAGGTCCTCCTGACTGTCCCCACCCCACTCAGCAGGTGCTCATTAAATGCCTATGGAATCAAACCAATGCCATGTGGTGCCTTTCTTTTTTTAAACAAAGATTCCCTTATAGGTTAAGACAGTGGGACCACAGACATGGAAAACCTGTCATTTGAATTTATTTAATGTCTTCTTACCTCTCCCAGAACCTGCAGCTGTACAGGTAAAGTCTCCACTCAGTGTTTGCTGTGTTTGTCCACGGGACAAAGGCAACAGCACGGTGCCTCTCCTGGCGCAGAATTGCCACTTGGCTGCCTTCACCCATGCAGTCCCAGGCGGCCAGGGCCCTTCCGACTCCCCCCACTTTGGAAGCAGGAAGTCGCGGAAGCTGTGAGTGCGAAGTTCCACTCAGGACTGGCCTTCACGGCTCAGTTGCTTGAGTGATGGGGCACAGCCTGCTCCAGGAAGCCCCAGGACCTGTTCCCGTCTTCGCACAGAGGACGTTCTGTGCAACTTTAGAACTACGCCACCTCGGCTCTGTGTGCCGCCATGGGGCAGGGGGAATGGCGTTCTGCTTAGGTGGCTGTGAGTGGCAGGGCCAGGCAGCGTCCCAGACTTGCAGATTCTATGTCGGCGGGCACCGTAGGCTTCCTGGAGGAGCACTGTGTCGCCCGCATGGCCAGCAGGCAGTCCCCGTGGTGAGGGGAGCCGGCAGCCGCCACCCACAGAGCCGCGGCCCCGCAGGAGTGGCCAGGAGCTTCCTCCTACCTGGCTCTCACCTCCAAACTGCAGCCCCAAGGTTCCAGCCAAGGCACAGGGAGTAGAAAAAGAAGCGAGGGAGCTGCAGCACACGGGCCACAGGATCTGCCAGGACCCCCGGGCGCACAGGGGAGCACGGCAGGTCTTAGAGTGGAGGGCCAGCCCCGAGGTCAGTGAGCGCCGGGGTGCAGGCTCACGGAATCAGCAGCAGCAGCTGCGTGGACCTGAGTGTTAAGAAGGATCCTGACTGTGTCCAGGTCCAGGGGGAAGGATGCTGGGATTGATGAGCTATGCCTGCTGTGGGCTCGGGCAGGGCAAAGGCTGGAGCGCCTGGGGTTGCCATCCCGGGACTGTCCGAGAGACGGGAAGCCCGAGGCCCCAGCAGGGGCGAGAAGCCCCGACGTTTCCGTCTGACGGCCCTGGACAGGTGGGATCGGTGCCTGGGGCAGCCCTGGGTCTGGCCTCTCAGCCTGTAGGGCCTCGCGCCTCCAGGAGGTGACAGAAGCACCGCGGCCGTGGGTGGGTGCACTTCGGGATGAACGCGACAGGGCGATGCGGGTCTCAGCCAGGAGCTGATAAAAGGCACCGCACAGCCCTGGGGCGCTCAGAGGCCCCTCGCGGGGGCTCGTCTGCCACCACAGCTGCCGGTTGGCTCGAGATGGCCTGACAGCGGTGACGTCCCGATGGTGGCAGTCAGCGCCAGGCTGGCACGCCCTGGCATCGCACCTCGGGAGAGCCAGCCGCCAGCTCCACTCCGTGCTGGCCAGCATTACAGATAACAGGTTCTGAGGCCTCATCCGCGGGGAAGGCCATTTGCTGGAGCCCCCAGCCGGGGCGGGGAAGAGCTCACGTGTTGCTGTGTTCTGGGGGCAGCAAAGCGTCCGCCTCCAGCCTCCGAGGCCTGTGTCGCAGCACTCAGCACAGCAAATGTTTGACAGCCTCATCCCTGGAGCCAGGAGAGCTGGGCTCACCTCCCAGCCCTGCCTCTTACTTTCTGTGTGACCCTGGGTGAACGACATAACCTTCATGGATCTCAGTTTTGCCATCTGTGAGATGGGCGCAGGCAGGGCCTGCCCCATCTGTCTGTTGTGAGCGCTCGGGGGCTGAGCAGGTTTGCATTGTTCAGGGACTGTGCTCCGTCACCGCGCAATACCTCATTTATTTAGAGGTGAACGTTACTATTATTGCCATTTTTCGGGTGAGGAAGTGGAGGCTTAGGGCACACGGAGGTGTGTGAAGCCAGATCCTCTGAGTTCTTGACGCAGTCACCATGACGCACGCCCCTTTCTTGGTCTGTCCCGACCAGACAGAAGCCGGCCCAGGAGACCCGCAGCCACGACACTCAGAAGCAGCTCCCTGGCTGCATGGATCCGGCTTTCCAGACGTTTCTGTTGGCAATCAGGGCCGCCCGTCTGACTCCGCCTCACTCCTCCTCCCCAGGGCTCCGCAGACGCTGCCAGCCCCGGCCTGGGACAGTCAGGCAGCAATGGCACGTTCCCTCGCTTGGCACCGAGCCCCCTCCCACAGATCCTCATCCCAGGGCCACTTCTGGGTGCTCCCAGGAGCCCAGCCTAAGGTTCTACCTCCCACCCCTCCCGTCTTGAGTAACAGGAGCGCGGCCAGCTGTTTTCAGGGGAGCAGCACTGTGAGATTGGGTTTATAATCAGAAATACATATTCAATCTCTGTCGCCAGGCCCCAGTGCTGAGTTCTCAGGACCTTGTAATTCCTGCGGCCCTGGGGTGCTGGGGGCATCCTTGGTTGAGATATTTGGTCTCTGACCTGGATTCCTGACCCAGAGCTCGCGATCTCTTGGAACTTCCTGAATCCTAGTGCTTATTTTGTTCTAACAAGATGCCTCTTTCCGGGCTCCTGGCTGTGATGTGGTCACCAGAGGCAGCACCAGTTATCATCCTGAAAGACACAAAGTCCCAGACGCCCTCAATGCTGAAATGCTGGCAGACCCAAGTCTCTAAGGCTTAAGATTCCTAACACCCCAGTCCCAACCCGCAAAGACTGCAGCCTGGAACGTGGACATCCTGGAAGCAAAGATTTCGAAGCTCACAATCCCACGGTGGGCGGGAGCAGCAGGGAGCTGGGTTCTGGGAAGGGACTGGCCACGCCGTGCGTGCGTGCCTGCGGCGATGCGGAGACCTTGGGTTGAAACCCGCCACTTGTCTGCATCGGCACTCCACCCTGCGGCTCCGAACCAAGGAAAGGCGCTCGCCTGGAAAAGGCAGCGGAGTGGCGCACTGGTTGGAAGCCATGCTGCGCGCAGCCAGGAAAAAGCCTACAGAGGCGGGGCTGGGAGGGGTCCGAGGAGGGTGGGGGTCTGTGTCCCCAGCCAGCACAGAAGCCAGGGCGCAGGAAGTGGGACTCTGCCAGTGTCCCTGCGATCACGGAATTCCAGACAGAGCCCTGGGTTAGAGAAGGCGCGGCCAGGAGCCCCGAAGCGCCCTGCTCCTGCCGCCTGACCCCCCCCCCCCTCGAGCAGTGCCCACGAGAGGGGCCCGGCCTGCGCTGCACGCACGTGTCCGGGGCCGAGCGGCCGCTCCCGTGGAGTCTCCCCCTCCACTCTGTGTGAGCGGCGCTAGGCCGCATTTCCGACCCGGAGGCACCGTGCGTGGAGGCCTTGCAGAGCCCGGAGCCACTGCGCGGTTGTGCAAATTCGGCCTCCCCAGAGCCGCCCTCAGCGTGGACTCGACCCCCGCAGCAAGACCTGGAGGCGTCCTCCGTCCACGTCCGCGTGGGGCGTGTCCAGCCCCTCCGCCCTCCCTCCGCACGGTGCGGGCTGTCCGCCCTCGCCCTCTCTCTCGCGGTGGGTGCGGGCTGTCCGCCCTCGCCCTCTCTCTCGCGGTGGGTGCGGGCTGTCCACCCCTCGCCCTCTCTCTCGCGGTGGGTGCGGGCTGTCCACCCTCGCCCTCTCCCCGCACGGTGCGGCTGTCCACTCCCGAGCCCCTCCCGCGCCTGTCGTCGGCACAGCTGGGCCCACGCCTGCAAAAACACCAGTGCCGTTGCCTGTTTCACCACGAAATAACGTGGGCAGGGAGATATCCCGATGGATTCCATGTTTCTCAAATAAATCCCCCCTTTAAATGTAAATGACTGTATTTTAAAGCATTAAAAAACCTTTTTTTCCTTTAACTTTGAGAATTTAAGCTTTAGGAATTTTAGGCTTTAGGGATTTTGGCTTTTGGGGAATTTCAGCATTTGAGGTGATGGCATTCGGGAACGCGCCAAACCCCAGGAGAAAAACCAGCCCACAGCAGCACGCTTAGACCCACGTCCCAGCAGCCTCTGCGGCGGGCGGCGGAGCTAGTGATAGGCCACGCCCACAGATGACGCCTGCGTGCTTACGCCCACGTGATGACGCTTCGGAAACCCGGAAGCACAGGGTGCAGGGCGCTGCGGGCTGGGGATACATCCCAGGGGGACCGCGGCTGCCGCCCGTGCTGCCCACCCCGGGCTCGCCCTCCGCGCGTCCTCACCCGCCTGTGCTCTGCGGTGGAGACGTTTCCTGCGAACCGCGCTGTGGACTCGATGAAAAGCGGGTCGGGGTCGTGGCAGCCTCCGATCTGCAGCTGCGTCAGAGCTGGGCCTCTGAGTGGGGCCGGCCTGTGGGCTAGGGCCCTGCCCTGGGGCATCTGGGGCCGCTTCAGCCGGATCCGGATCCGGGGAGAGCCTCTGCGTGTGCACGCGCTCTGAGCTCGCGCTGCAGGGACGTGCCCGGAGTACTGCCCTGTGTGCCGACGTGGGGTCGGTTCTGCACAGGGACATACGAGCCAGAGTTCTGAGTAGGTTTCCTAAAAGAGAGAGAGCGTGAAGGCTGGTGCTCCGGCAGCCATGTTTGACCTTCGTCTGGAACCTGGAGACAGGAGAGGCCGCCCTGACGCTGGCGTGTGAGCATTGTGCCTGCCCTCAGCCGTCTTCCCCTGCAGGCGTCCAGCCTGCTTCATCTCAGCGTCGGTTACTGAGGATTTTACGTTTTCCAGGCGGGGGTCTACCCTGACTGACACGGGCTAAAATTCAGATCTCAGTGGAGCGCAAAGTCGCCCTCGGCAGCCGACAAGCGAGACTGCGCTCCGGAGCAGATTTGCATGTAGTTCTCTAATTTGGCCCGCCCGGAACTTGAGAACCCGGCAGCCTGGATGCTGAGCTCTGCCCGGGCGTTCTTAGCTCTGGGCTTCCGGTGGTCCCGGTGGCCGGGGGCCGGGCCTGGGCAGCCTGGCCGCGCCGGCTACAATGGCTGCTGCTGCTCGGCCGGCGCGGGGCGGCGCCTTCCAGCTTAGCAGCCTTTGCTAAAGATAGAAAATGTCCCGGACGCTGACCC